ACACGTCGTAGCTCAATGTGTCTCCAACACGTCGTAGCTTAGCGTGTGACAGCAGATGAACTGAACCTCGTCTTCCTGCAGCTCTACAGCTTGGCGTCGCAGTCGAAGAGCCTCAGCGGTCACAAGGTCCAGTTTGTTCCGTTTCCTTCGGCTCTCGCCTACAAACACAAGTTCATCTACCGGAGCCCGGAGCTGCCCAACATCCTGAGGTAGGACCGGTACCTGTGAGGCTCCAGACAGCCAGACATGTCACTGACGCTCACTTCCTTCTGTTGCAGTGATTTCCTCGGCACAGCTCATCCCATCTCGCCGTGACGACGCCGCTTCCTGTCCGAGCACCACAAACAAACACTGGTTTGTCTCTTCAGACCCAAAGTTCTCGCATGAACTCGACACCGACACGTCATTCCCTTGTGTTCTGTTAGCATTCCTCTCACTGGCTTCACGGCACACAGGGTTGCCATGGCGATGGTTGCCGTGTTTTACGTACTGTAGAGCGACGAGGACGACGGCGATGGAACCGACCGGAGACGTGAAGAATCATTTTTATCTTTTACTGGGTTTGGTCTTGTTTTCTCTCATCTGTTGGTCTGTTCGCTCTGCTCCGATCGGGTCGAGTCCTCGAGTCCGAGTTGTTTGAATGAACCTTGGAAGGCCTGTTATGACTTGAATTATCAATTAAATATTTCTCGTTTTAAGTAGCGTCTCTGTGTTCTTCTTTGTTGCTTCACTAAAAATCAGAATAATGCTCCCAAACCAACATCAGGTCAGACGTTATGAATGTGAGCTTAAAATATTCAAACTGTGTTGAAGGTTTGAATCAAACATCAGACAGATGGACACCGAACCCTCCTGGAGAATCCTCAGAAAGACGATGGAAACGTCCAAAAGCTGAAACACTGAAGAAATGAAAAACACAAAGATCTGATCAGGATCCAGGACCGCTCACAGTGGGTTTTCCAGGCAGCTTTCAGAACCAGAACCGGGGCCACGATGTCTCTTGAACATCTCAGAACGTCGAGCAGGAAACAGGTGGGAGATGAACATGTGGAAGCGCCGGCTGCTGCCTCCGAGTTGGTGGAACGAGATGGATGGACTCGGTGCTACCGTCATTCACCAACAGTCCGTCTGTTCCTGGTTTCAGGTTGAATTCCAGCCGTTTCCTTTTTGCAATCACGCGTGAACTCGTATGAAAGCTGATTTCAGACGACTGAATGTTCTCCGCCAGCTGACCCTGCTTCCCGTCAACACTCGGCTCAGAAGCTAACGTGTAGCCACGTGCTAACGCTGAAGCTGCATTTGACGTCCACAGCAGGAACTTCCTGCTGCAGCTTGAGAGTGGAAACAGAACCGAAGGATGCAGGATGCAGAGCGTCCAGCAGGGGGCAGCAAACGCACACTAACCATTTTCAAAAGAGGAAAATAATCACTGAAGAACCAGCCGAGCTCCGTCCATCATCTCCACACCTCAACCCTCACAAGGGGGCGGAGCCTATCTCACCTGACTCAGGGTGTCTTTTTTAATGTTTTGTTGTTTTGTTTTTTTTTATCAACATTTGTAAAGATTTCTTGTTTGAAAATGACATTTCATACATTTATTTTTTTCATGTGTTTTTCTTCTGAATTGTTTTAATTAGGGTCCGAGCACCCAAAAGGGTGCGAAGACCCTATTGGAACTGCT